TCAATAATAAATATGCTGGATACATGTTTGTGGGAAAGTCCTTATCGATTATAAGGCCAAGAAGTGAAAGCCTTAATAGGGACAGCCCTGGTCACCTATGAAGCTCTTCATCTTGAATTATCCAGTTCTATGCATAAGTCCATGTTTGCTTGTATAGCTTGCCCCAATTGTCCTTCAAACATACAATTTTAGTAATTTATATAGTTAAAATTGTTACAGTGGGAGCATTGCTCTAACTGAAGCATAAGTCCTTTATGCTAATTTTAATAAAACTTAAATGGTAAGATTTCCACAAGATAAGTCTTATATAGCTTTTCCATATAAAATGCAGTTGTTTTCTTTCTATACCTGTAAGCAAATAAGTAGTTTTAAGAAGTGACAATATTTTATGATTATACATTATTATTATATAAAACTCTGGTCTTGAATACAGCATGACTCCAGAGATATTGTTAGATTAGGTTTTGAGACCCTCACAATGAAGAAAGAATACATTTAATTTTTTTGGTTCCCAGTACATATAAAATTATTGTTTATACTATGCAGTAGTCTATAAGCAATGCCAATAGCATTATGTTCTAAAAAGTTATACATAAGTAAAAATATTTTATTGCTAAAAATGCTAACATATCTGAGACTTCCAGTGAGTTTATAATCTTTTTGCTGGTGGAGGGACTTGCCTCAGTGTGATGGCTGCTGACTAATTTAGGGTGGTGGTTGCTTGAAGGTTTGGGGTGAGTGGCAGTTTCTTAAAGAAACCAATGAACTTTGTGCATTGACTCTTCCTTTCGTGAAGCGCATTTCTTTTGTATGTGATGCTGTTTTGATAGCATTTTACCCACACATAGAACTTCTCTCAAATTGGGGTCCAGTTTTCTCAAACCTGCCTGCTGCCCTTTTATCAATAAGTTTATGTAATATTCCCTAAATCCTTTATTTCATTTCAGCATGTTCACTACTTCCTTGACCAAACGTAATTCTGTCTGGGATAATCATTTTCTTTGCTTATTCCATAAGAAGCAACAAACCATCTAAATTTGATCATGAATTGAGCAAATTCAGTCCACATCTTCAGTCCTCCAGTTCTAATCTAGTTCCTTTGCTATTTTACCCATCTCCCACTTACTTCTTCCTGGGTTTTGAACCTCTCAAAGTCCATCCATGAGGGTTACGAAAAATTCTTTTCAAACTCCGTTATGTTGATATTTTGAACTCCTCACATGATCACAACATTTCCTTCCATGTCATCTGAAATGGAGAATCCTTTCAAAGGGTTTTTCAATTTACTTGTCAGATTCCATCGAGGGAATCACCTATCTATGGCAAGCTTATACCTTCACTGCAAAAGTATTTCTTAATAATAAAAGTTGAAAAGTGACAAATTACTGCCGTGATCCTATGGGTACAGAATGGATGTTGTGTTAGCAGCGGTGAGACCAACATTAATTTGTACATCTCCATCAGCGCTCTTGGGTGACTAGGTACACTGTCCAATGAGCAGTTAAGCATTCTCGAAGAAATTTTTTTTTTCTAAATGGTGCTTTCCATCAGGCTGTTTTGGTTGTTCTGCTCTGTTCATGCAGCCACAGGCGAAGGTAAACTGAAGCATATTTCTTAGGGCTAGATTTTTGGAATGGTCAATCATATCAATTGGCTTCTACCATGGTGTCCTTCAACTTTGAAGCCAGGCAATTTATTCTCTCCTTGTGAAAAGTCTAGATGGCCATTTCTTTCCTTAGTAGGCTTGTTTCGTCTGCACTGAAAGATCTGCACTGTGTTTTCGTCTGCACTGTCTGTTTAGGTGCAGCCCATCTTTATCAATGACTTAGCTAGAATCTTCTGGATATTGCTACAATTCCTCACCCAAAGCACCTTTCTTGTTCCATCTTTGCACTTTTATGTTATGGAGAGAAGTGTCTTTTCTTATTAACTACATACCAACCTCTGCTAACTTCCAGCCGTTTATCTCTGGCAGCTTCTCAACTTCTCTCGCCTTCATAGAATTAAAGACAGTTAGCCTTGCTCTTGATTAGGCTTTGGTTTAAGGAATATTGTGGCTCGTTTGACTTTGTCGGACAACTCACCTTCTCCCTATGAACAATAAGGCGTTTTGTTTTCTTATCATTCACTGCAATAGTATTTTATTTCTTGAAGACTTTTCCCTTTGCATTCCACAATTTGGCTTTGTTGGCACAGAGGCCAGCTTTCAGCCTGTCTGGCTTTCAACATGTCTCCTCACTGAGTAAGCTTAATCATGTCTAGCTTTTGATTTCAAGTGAGAGACTCTTCATTTCACTTAAACACTTAGAGGATCATTGTAAGGTTCTTAATTGGCTAATTTTATATTCTTGTGCTTGGAATAGAGAGGACCTGAGGAGAGGGAAGAGACGGGCAATGGCTGGTTTTTGGATCAGTCAAAAGAAACATTTATTGATATCAATCTTCTTCACCTCCTCTCTTCTGTTGGTCATTCAATACAGTAAGCAACTCACTAAACATACTCAAAAAACTTTGATTCTGAGAATTATCAAAATGTGACACAGAGAACATGAAGTGACAGGCTTGTTGAAAAATGGCACACATAGACTTGCTCACAAGCAGGATTGCACAAACTTTAATTGTAAAATATGGAAATCTAAGTGCAATAAGTGAAGCACAATAAGTGACATATGCTTGTATTCCCAAACACTATATCTCAGACTGAAACTGTCTTTGGGTTTCTCCCTACAACATTTTTTTTTTTTTTTTTTTTTTTTGAGACAGAGTCTCACTTTGTTGCCCAGGCCTAGAGTGAGTGCCGTGGCATCAGCCTGTCACAGCACCTCAATCTCCGGGCTCAGCGATCTACTGCCTCAGCCTCCCGAGTAGCTGGGACTACAGGCATGCCCCCATGCCCGCTAATCTTTGTAAATATATTTTTTAGTTGGGTCAATTAATTTATTTCTATTTTTGTAGAGACGGGGTCTCGCTCAGGCTGGTTTCGAACTTCTGACCTTGAGCAATCCGCCCGCCTCAGCCTCCCAAAGTGCTAGATTACAGGCGTGAGCCACCGCGCCCGGCCTACACATTATTATATATGCTTGTTGATCAGATGGTTCTACTCTTATGGATTATGATACGTCTGATTTTACAGTATAGGCAAGTACTTCAAAGAAAGTTACTGTTGGAATAAAAATAATAGCCAGTATTCACTAAGAATGTGTCTTTTTCAGGCATGGTGCTAATTATATTTCAGGGATTATCTGGTTTATTCTTACACCACCTCAGAATTTGGGTCTGGGGATAATCACTGTATTCTTTTTCAAGATGATAAAACTGAGATAGAGGTTAGGTAATTTGTCAAAGGTTATTTACTAATAAATACCCACAGCAAGGATTCAAACAAAGAATGTAATTCCAGAGCCCTATTCTTACCAAATCTTCTGATCTATCTTAACATATCATTTCCTTGTTTTATTGAATCTCTAAGTAACCATGTGATTTAGTCAAATAGTCTGTGTAGTCACTGAGATTGTCAGGTGACAATTGAGTTGTACTGGTTTTATTTAAACTCCATAACTTATATCTAATCTATATACATAAACATATTTAGAGGAAGAATTTCTGCTTAATGAAGTAGTATTTAATAAGTATCATTATTTTATATTTAATTTGAATAATAGCTAACAAAAGTACATTTCTTAAATTATTTTATCTAATCCACATAATAAAGTGTACATGTTGTTACACATAAAAATAAGTACCACTGTGTACATTTATTAAATTTAATAATAGTAGCTAACATTTATTGAATACTTACTAGGTGGCCAGCACAATGCTAAGTGATTTACATATATATCTCATTTAATTCTCACAAGGTTCATATAAAGTATTATTATCTTTAGAAGAGTTAAGTAACTAGTTCAGTCACAATTAACCAGTAAATGAGGAAGCTTGGATTCCAACCTGGATCTCTTTTACTCCAGAGCTAGAATTTTTTAAATTGACAATGAAAATTATTATATTTATGGAATACAATATGATATTTGATATAAATAAACACTGTGAAATGAGTAAATCAAACTAATTAACATACTCATCACCTCACATACTTCTTATATCTTTATGGTGAGAATGTTTAAAATCTACCCTGTTAGTAATTTTTAAGTACATAATACATTATTATTTACTTATACATCATACTATACAACAGATCTCCAGAACTTATTCCTCCTGTTTAATAAACTTTGTACTTTAACATCTCCCCATTCCCCACCTCCCACCCATAATCCAGTAACCACCATTGTGCTTCTCACTACATCTATTAGTTCAGTAATTTTAGATACACATAAAAGTGAAATTATGCCATATTTGTCTTTATGTGCCTGGCTTATTTTACTGAGCATAATATCCTTCAGGTTATCTATGTTGATGCAAGTAACAGGATTTCTTTCTTTTCTAAAAGCTGAATAGCATTCTATTGTGTATATATACCATATTTTCTTTATCCATTCATCCACTGGTGAACACTTAAGTTGATTTTATATATTGGCTTATGTGAATAATATCCTATATAATATGGAAAGCAGCTATTCTTCAACATACTGGATTTAATTTTCCTTTTTTTTTTTTTGAAACAGAGTCTTGCTCTTTGCCCCAGAC